GGTGGGACAGAGTTGCATGCAACTTCCAAATGTATGGGTATGATGGGACAACGCAACGATGCTATGTTGTAAGGTCTATCATATCCAATTGTGCTTCATGCAAAAGTTACATCGCGCTGGCAAAGATAATTTCAGTTCTAACACTAGTATTTTGTTCAGGAGGCAAGCTATTTAAGGTGGGGTTAATTGCCCTGCCCCCTTTGCTCCATAAAAGACTGGACCTCTACGATTGTGTATATATTCATACCAGGGATCTCAATGGTTCTCTTGTAGGCTGAGAGAAAGGCGGCCTCAGCGGCCTGACTCCTGCGAGAGAGAGCGTCAATCTCGGCCTGGAACGACTTCAGGAGGGGGGACACCTTCCTACGAACCTCCTGGAGGTGGTGGAGAGAGGAGGAGAAGGGGAGAGCATTTCATAGGATGAAGAGAGACTGGGAGGGTGAAATGCCGGGAAATGAGATGGTAGACGGTGAGTGGAAGAGGAGGGCGAGGAAGGGAAGAGAAGAGTAAGAAGTGAAGTGGTATGTGGGGAGACAGGGGTTGTGGAACACACACACACCTCGGAAGAGTTCTTCTTGAACTCTCTGCTCAGCTCGATGAGTTTTTTCCTGGAGGTCTCCGAGTCATCCTGCTTCTTGGCTATCTCCGTCGCCTGTCTGTCCAACTCTCTCTGCGGCGAGGAGAGGCAGGAGAGAGTTGTTATTTGTTATGGGAGGGGCGAGGTCTCTATATACCTGAAAGTCTTGTATGGAAAACTCCCGCCAAAACGTGAGAGCCGCTTGGATAGCCATCCTATCTACTGCCTCTCTATACGCTCTGTCGGCGCAGCTCTGCTCTTCTTGCTAGAGAAACTCTGTAGCTAGAGAGCTAGAGAGACGCTGTTGGGCACGTGAGCACACCTTTGTTTCTAATTGACGCGCATGTTTGCTGAGTAAGCAAAAATTTGCGAGCGGCTGATAATACAATGGCTGGCATTAACAGCGGGTATGCATCTTCTCCGCCTCCTCGGCAGCCAGAAGAGAGACAGGAGTATAGAAAGTCCCTTCACAAGAGCAGCAACAGTCCTCACTGGAAAGGAGCGTACAGAGAGGTTCGCCTGAACCGTTCCGCTGCCCTGATATCAACCTCAGCCTCTCTCCCTCTCTCTGCAGCGGTGCAAGAAGAGGCTGAGGGAGAGCCGCGAGAAGTTCCTGACGAGATTCAGAAACATCACATCAGAGAGAACCGAGGAAGACCCTGCAATCAGTGGTTCGTCTACGGAATCGCCTCTCGCCAGTGGCAGCGGTGGCTCGGCGAGAGTCCCCTCTCCCTCCTCCCTGGCCTCCTCGGTCCAGGAGGTGGTGATGGAGGAATGGGAACACGTGAGAACGGAGTACGGGAACCTGCCCTCCATCCCACAGTCCAAGAGGGGAAAGCTGGTGCACACAAGTAGCCAAGATGACTTGGAATTTCTAATGGTATTGAACTTCCCCCCAGTTCCAATAATTGCCTGTCTCTGTTTCTGCAAACAATATCATTGCCCTTGTTGCACGCCTCTAGAGGTTTAGATCTCTGGCTGTCTCACATCTTGCAAGCTTACCATAAACAAAGTGTCTTTTACAAGATTGTGTGTTTTTGTGTGTGAGTTTTCGACCAGTGGGAGATGTAAACGGTGTTGTGTGTTGTTATTTCAGAGTGAGGAATTAGAAGCAGATGTGGAGCTGGTGCTGAGTATCATGGACGAATTGACAGAGGAGCTAATTAAAGAAGGTCCTCCTCCTCCTCTTCCCCCTCCTCCATACAGTATATAGAACCTCTGATAAGGGAGACTCCCCTCTCAGTAAAGGACACGCTCACCTCTGATAAGGGAGACTCTGATAAGGGAGACTCCCCCTCTCAGTAAAGGACACACCTCTGATAAGGGAGATTCCCCCTCTCAGTAAAGGACACACTCGCCTCTGATAAGGGAGACTCCCCCTCTCAGTAAAGGACACACTCACCTCTGATAAGGGAGACTCCCCCTCTCAGTAAAGGACACACTCACCTCTGATAAGGGAGACTCCCCTCTCAGTAAAGGACACACTTTGAGGGTCCTAAACGTTTACTTTTCTTTGATCTCAAAAGAAGGGACAACCTCCCTATAAAGGCTGGTCCCCTGTCCATTATTACACCAATACTGGAATTTTCCACTCTGCACTCCTTATAGAACAGGCCCTATTGGCACAGTATGAAGATGACATAAGGTTCAGTGAGGATGCATTATGTGATGCAGTCCGGAGTCTCCATACTGATGACATCATCTGCCCCATCTGCCAAAAGTGTGCCCGTAAAATTTTTACTCGTTTCCGCTACAATTTTGTGTCTCAGGGATTACCTTCATCAGAACAAGCAGGTCCTATTTTGCTCCTGTGGACTTCGACTGGACACGGCAGTTAGTTTTTAGTTAACACCTATTTTCAGTCATTATTATCAATCCCTAGCCTCCCTTATACCGTACCATGTATTGAAATACCAATAACACTGTTCTTTGGTTTACTTTTAAGATTTAAGAACCTAATTATCATGGAGCCTGTGCCCCTGCGTCACCGGTGAGAGGTTTGCAATAACACTAGATGTTGTTCCCTCATTGTAGCACGATGGAATATCACTGGACTACATAAGGAGGCAGTTAGACCACTATTCTCTCGAACACAGGTGAGCTTGTCTTCTTGTGAACCCTCACTCTCTCTCTCTCTCTCTCTCTTCTTTTCCCTACAACTGCATCTGTTCCCCCTCCCTCTCTCTTGCCTGGTTTCCCTCCCCCTAGCTCCCAGTGCAGAGGAAAACCTCAGTTTTCTCTGGAAACAGTGATGCAGACACAGACCCTCATCATGAACTGCCCCGTATGTTAACTGCTTATCTATTGCTGCTATCCACCAACCGCGCCCTCTTTTCTCTTCATTCCCTCTCCACCACTGTCTCCTTGTCCTTCTCTCCCTTCCTTCCTTCCCTCCTCACTCTTACCCTCTTCCTTCCCCATCTCATCCAGACCTGCTGCTTCATGGAGATCATTGTTTGAAGCCAGACTTTTTAAAAATTTCAACTCACAGTCTCGTCTTTGCTTTTCTCATTTTTGTTTTTAACCGAAACGTGTCTCAGAGAATCTTAAAAAATTAATGGTCCAAATGAAGTCAATTGCGACACGGGAAATTATATCAACAGAAAAAAACAGAGACAATTCTGTTGTAATCAAAAGTGAGGAACTGCGCGAAGCTTTAAGTGGCAGTGTCCAAATCGAGATCAGCTACAATGAGTGCTGGGGTTGGATGCTATGAGAGAGTCTGTGTCCGTCCATTACCATCGACAGATCTGCTGCAGTCTGGGGTGGGGTGGAAACGTCAAGTTCATTATATATACCTTTGCTCTCTGAGCATTCTCAATGTTAGATAATATCCGTTGCCCTGGTGTATATAGTTGATATGCACGTTTAGACACTATGATTCATGCATAAACAGCTTTGGCATACATTTTTCAGTCTGATGGGAGTATGGAAGAGGCATCATATTATTATGTACCTGGGACTTGGTGTAGCTGGTGAGTGGACTGAGTTGTAGCGACCGTGAACACCATCTGTTGTGATGTAACAAACCGTCATAAGAGTATAGTACGTTAACACACACCTCTCAGCAGTCACTCTATCGCTGGGGCTGGCTCTGTCGGAGCAGGCCTGCTCCACCAGTAACATACCTGTACGGGACATCAGCTGACATCAATACATTGAGTCCGGGGCCTGCCACACTAGCTTCAACAAGAACATTACAAGTACACTGCCTATTAGCTTTTCATGAGAGTCTGCGAAACAGTAATTATGATGTGTGAGCACACCACAAGTAATCAAACACCAGTTGGTTCACAAGACCAGTTCTACCACGCAGTTATTCTGTGGAAACTAGAGCCTGCAGAGAAAGATTTAGAATGCAATGGAAATTCTCTTTCATAGTTGGCTCTGAAATTTTTCATCTCAACACGGTTTCCTGATTGTGGGTGTGGTTGTCTCACTGATGTAGACGTGTGCCAAGGAGAGAGCGAGATCCCTGGCCGCTACCTCCAGACACTGCGGCTCCTCCCCCATCGCTCGGAGGACAAAGGTCACCACGTCCTGCATCCTGTCTCGGATCAGGTCGGCCTCGCTCTCGAGTTGACAGCGAGCGAGAGGAAGACGAGAGAGACGAGACTTGACCGTGTCAGTCACCACTTCAAGTATCTTCAGAGAGAATGAGGAGGGGAGGGGAGGGAGAGAAAGAGGACGGAGAGAATAAAGAGGAGCGAAGGAGGGAGTGAGTGAAGGGAGGAGGAAGAGGAATCATCTTACTTCCGGACCGACTTTCTGCAGGACTCTCAGGAGATCAAGACTCAGAACATTTGTTGTTCCTTCCCAAATAGTGCCCACCTTAGTTCAACACCAGAGGGGGGAGGAAAGGGAGAAAGTCAGCTCCATATGTAGGTACACATAAACAATCTACGTATATAGGTCTAAACTGATACTATAGATGAAAGGTCCGAAATCGAAACTCATTGACCCTTCTTTCAAATGGCACACACCTGGGCATCTCTGAGCAGCACAGGGAGACCCGTGTCCTCCAGGTAACCAGCACCTCCAAAGCTCTCCAGACCTTCAGAAATAACTGCCACAGCCTACAACAAATACACAATTCAGAAATGATTCAGGAACCAATAGTCACAGACACGTTTGCACTATTCTAGAGGACTAGTTTTGACATCTCTCGTGCTTAGGCAAGTGGCAATGTTTTCCATGGCTCATACATTATTCATGAGCAGTGTATATGGGTTATCCTCCACCTGTTTGGCAGTGTATAGTTTGTTGATGGAGTTGAGTAGTCGGAGAAGCAACGTGTCGGATTTGGTAGCCAGTCCAGCCTCCTTTAGTCCCACCAGTCTAGCTGTCTCCAGGCCCAGCAGAGTACAGCCTCTTGTCTCCACCTAAAAATGGATGGGGGGGGGATGGGGGAGAGGTGTGATTATCTGTGTGGCCGTAGTTTTAGCTACCACTGTACGTTCCACTACCCCTGCAAATAAAAAAAAACCTGGACTAAGTCGAACCCTCTCCAAATACCCCTTTTAAATATCGACACTTTCCATTGGTGGTCCAGATTAGAGGGGTTCCACTCTACTGTACTGTGTGTAATCAATATACCTCCATCTGGGCCAAGGTGTGCATATGGAGAGGCTGCTCCGCGAGGTACTTCCCAACCACGGTCCTCCGAGTGGAGTAGTCTCTTGATAGCTGGAGGATCCGCCTCATGTAGGCCGCCGAGATGATGCTGTTGTGGAGTCGCGTGACTGTCAGCATCGGTGAGATGGTGGCCACACCCCTTCCCTCCGTCCCTACCTGGGTGGAGAGGGGAGAGGATTCGTGGCCCGATCTGTATCAGCGATGCAACTTAAAGTTCAAACATTTTCCAAAATACAGAGAAGACAGCTTATTTCTTTGAAAACGTGTTGTCCTGGATGCGCGCCTTTGATATGTGCTTGCGTCATAAATTGCCAAAAATATGCTCTTTCCACCTTCACTTTCTACTCACTCAAATGTTAACTAGTGTATATACTAATGTCGAATGACTAGCGAGAAGTACACGGTGTCCTCACGAGATGAGCTGTAGATCCGTCCAGTAAGACCTCGGCAGTCGGCAGCTGCCTGGTGCCCAATTTGTCTTTGAGTCTCACCAGCTCCAGACTGTTGTGAGCTCCGCCGCCCAGCCGTGTCTCCAGGTAGAATAGAGACAACCCTCTACTGCCCTGTGCAGTGCAGCGAGGAGAAGAGAAGTTCATGAATTTCAAGTTTCAGGGTAAACTAATAAAACACAGGGTTTGTATGTTGCATGGCAGGATATGAAATCAACATGACATTTCAATTTTCCACCAAATGTCCATTTTTCATTCCCTTCGATAGTGTGTGTATACACATAAGTGAATGTACAGGTGGGTGGTCATACAGGTGTTACTAGTCCCTGGGGGTCCTGGACTCTGGCAAGAGTGAAGGCAATGTCTGCATCAGTGGCTGACGTGAACCACTTGTAGCCATACAGTCTGTAAGAGCCATCCTCCTGTGGAACCGCCACTGTGTCAGTACCTTCACCAGGGGGGAGAAAAACAGAGATGACGTGATTATTGCACTCAATGACAGCTACTAGCTCCCATGGGACACTAAGCTAAGATCCTTTGAAAACGCATAAAAAGGAAAGTAACAGAAGCTACTGCACTTTACTGTCACCTCCAAGAAAAAGGAAGTAGTTACAAGAGGAATTGCCATGAAATAAAAAGGAAGTGAGGGGTCCCGACAGAGAAAGGAGATAGGGAGAGAGAGAGGTGTTCAACTGACTCTGCCCCACGTCGGAGCCTCCTCGGCGCTCCGTCATCCACTGGCCAGAGGTCCAGAAGTTGGTGGGGTCCCTGGTGGTGAGTCTAGCGAAGGCCTTTCCCAGCTGTGGCAGCTCTTGTGTCAACCCACTGGACTGGAAGATAAAAAATACGGAGAGTCAGGGAAAATGCATAGAGAGCCAGGAAAAAAGACAGAGAATCAGGAAAAATACAGAGAGCCAGGAAAAAAGACAGAGAACCAGGAGAGCCAGTATTAAAAAAGATAGACTACAGATAGTCAGGCGAGAAAGAACCAAAGACACAAAGAGACAGAGAGAAAGCAACCTCGATGAGCATGGCAGCTCCGTCAGTCATGGCGATGGGGCAGGAGTAGAGAGCCGATGACGGACCCCACAGTATGGTCTTGGCAACCTGGTGCAGTCGACTGCACACGCATTACAGTTGGAGTCTGTAACAGCAATACTACCTCATCCCATCCCTAGCATATATCATTGTGCACTCTCCTCCCCAAACTGACCTCCACTGTGCATGTTTCCTCTCGTAGGCAATGGCCACCATTCCCTCTTCTGCGGCGATGTCATGGAGAGTGCGCCAGGCAGAGGACGTCACCAGTTCGTCGACTTTCTCTCCCCACGCATTGTACTTCCTTCAGTCACGTGTGCGTGAGTGCGAGTGTGTGGAAAAGGAGCCTCTGAATAACGTCTATGAAAGACACTTGGGCTTGCTTTGCATCATGCAAAGGACACCTCTGAACAAAGGACACTTTCGATGTTCCCAAAGTGTCCCTTATTCAGAGGTTTGACAGCAATGGGTGAGTGTGTGTGACCTGATAGAGGGAGGCTCCAACTCCGCCTGTCTCCCGAGTGGTTCAATCTCTCCAGACACTCTCTCTCCAAACCTCTCCAGGTCAGCAAACACCTCCTCACACACCTTCAACAGTTCACAAACACAATCAGCATGGATGTTGACTATGTGGCTCCTCAGACTAACATAGGCCAAGAGGTAAAGAGAAGAAACAAAGCCGGGGGACGTTGTGACTGGAAGAGTAATGTTACTTTCCAGTGTTCTATAGGACTATGGACACCATAGCATGGAAGTTGCGCGGAGAATCTAGTGCACAATACAAAGTCTACTGGTGTAGGTGTGCGTGTCTGGCTCTCACCTCAACCGGCATGACTCGCTGGAGGTATTGCCTCAGAAACACGTCCTCCACGAACGTGTTGTAGAGTTGAGGCCGCGGCTGGAAGAAGGCGCCTCGTTTGGCTCTCTGAAACGAGTCCGGAGACACCTTCTGCTCTTCCTTGCCGTCTCCATCGCCGCTCCAGCGACATTGGGTGGTTGTAGAGACGGCCCTGGAGCTGGAGAACCGGCTTACACGGCCGTTGGAGAGGAAACGTTTCGCCAACAGCAACGCTCTCTGCTGCTGCATCTCCCCAGTTTGGGGGCGTGGCACGGATCGCACGCATACGCATGCGCACGGTGGCGTGACGATCTTATGTCCGGGACTTTGTACCAAAGGCAAACGGAAACCTACATACGACTGAAGCTATGAAGATGCATCTTAGGATTTTGGGTTGCGTTTGGAAGTTTGTATTCCATCGAACTCACGTCTACAACTTGTCTCCTCGTCGCTGCAGCCACTCCCCCTTTTCCCATCTCCACCACCTCCCCACCTCATCCCTCTCCCTCATCACACCCTGTCACGCATACACCACCCAGCCTCCTGGCCACTCGAGGCCCAACATCTGTTGGAAGTGTGACAGAGACCTAGACGAAGGCTCAAGAGACGATGATGGGTCAAGAGTAAAGTTCTTGTGCCCCTGTGATAAACGCGTCGTCCTACCTCCGTCTAATACCCACACCTACTTTCAGATAATGGACTGGTAAAACAACAGACTATCTATACAGTCAAGCCTAGCTCAGAATAAGGAAAACACCTCTGAATGGACACTTCCAATGTCCCTTTCACTGCTAAACCCCTTTACCCATTTCTGCAGCCCTGTCAGCTATAGATTGAATGTGGAAGCACTAAAGGAGAGATTCAGACAACTGCAGCGTCAACTCCACCCTGATCGATTCTCTACTGCTTCTCCAGTCAGTGTTATATGACATAAGCTCTACTCTACTATGTAGTTGAATGGACTGTGACAATAGCATTTTCCAGTGAAAGCTTCCTTATGACTGGCCGGTAGCTAGTGACAGTTTTGGCATTCCAGCCATATTTTAAACCCACATAGTGCCCAGATTAACAAGGATTGCATCAGAGAGGCATGCAGTGTTTACATTGACATGTGATTCTCTGGTTGTTCAGGAGGAGCAGGAGTTTTCTGCCGGGCAGTCTGCTCTCGTCAACAGGGCCTACTCAACACTTCTCAAGCCTTACTCTAGAGGACTATATCTAGTGAGGAAGAGAGGGAGAGGGGGGAAGGCACTATACTGCACACTTCTTAGGCCTTAGTATAGAAAGGGACTTTATCTAGTGGGAAAAGAGAAGAGAGAGAGAGAGGAAGTATAGAAGATTGAAGGGGATGAGAGTAAGAAAAGGAGAGGGGAAGGAGTGAGAGAGAAGAGAGGGAGCGAGATGGGGTCACTGAGGTGTTGTATGTATCTGTAATAATAGCTGGATTTGAATGGACTGACGATAGACAGGGGCCCACTGAGGTGTTGTATGTATCTGTAATAATAGCTGGAGTTGAATGGACTGACGATAGACGGGGGGTCACTGAGGTGTTGTATGTATCTGTAATAATAGCTGGAGTTGAATGGACTGACGATAGACGGGGTCACTGAGGTGTTGTATGTATCTGTAATAATAGCTGGAGTTGAATGGACTGACGATAGACGAAAAAGACACACTGACAGATGCATCAGGATTCCTGGAGGAGATGTGGGAAGTGAGAGAGAGCCTAGACGATGCAGCCAACACCGGAGATTTAGCAGCTCTTCTGCTGCTTCAGACCACTAACAACGGTATGAGTCTCTAATGTGTCCCATCTCATGATACGTATTGGCTCGAAATCTTTCTGATTTTCTGTACAGCAAACTTGAAGAACATTTCTGATGAAGTTGCAGCTTCTTTTGATTCAGGTAGCTATATAACCAGTGTGTGTGTGAGTGGCCGTCTCTCTGTGGTATAGGTGACTATACAGCTGCCAAGGAGTGTCTGGCAAGAATGAAGTACTTTATCAACATCGAAGAGTCACTAAAAGACAGACTTGATCCTCCACCATAGTGATTTTCATATAATTATACTTTCTGCTGAATGATAATACTGCAGTCTTAATTGAAGCACAGCATGTGTACGTTGCAGCACTCCTGTGGCATGTAGTTAGCTATAATTATACACACAGAATCCTGAGGTGGCTGCATTCCTTGAACATTGCACATTACTGCCATCACTAGGAGTGCAGTGCTCATAAATAGCTGAGTTCCACGTGTTTGCTTCATTTGAACACTACAACAAGACAAGACGTAGGTCTAAAGTGTAGTTATAATGTCTGGTGCAGAGAGTAGTCTGGAGCCTGATGGCACTTCTTCTCTGAGGGTGGTTCCCTCGGCCTCCGACCAGCAGAGGCCGTCCATTATCTCCCTGGGGGAACACAGCCATGGGCTCCCTGGACTCCTCTCCTCTGAGGCAGAGGTAAACCAATGCATTGACAAAATTCTACAACAGTTGAAACAGGCTCAAGACAGTGTTCCTTGATTTTGTCGATAGCTAATTTGAACTCTCAAAAGCTAGCTAATTCACCTTGGTTGCTCTGTTTCAGCCTCTGGATGAAAGAGGCGTGTCAGGAGTCAATGGAAGTGGTAACACAGGGAGTGGGCAGTACGCCATTACCGAGTTCACAGCAGAAGGCTTCATCATCAGCACACAACAGGTAGACAAACAGCCACACAGAGCAAGTAGCTACTGTAAATCTTCCCTGGGGGTTTGCATGTGCACAGGGAGTTAAAAACCTTCCATGGATGCCCTATATTTTTTCACAAACAATCATTAATATTTGGTTCTTTCAGAGAAGTGCTGAAGGAGGGAGTAGGGAGTTGAATGAAGCCACATCTGAGTTTGTAACAGGAGACCACAGAGCCAGCTCAGCCCTCTCTCCATATCCGGATGCTTCACGCAGAGAGTCCAACGTAGCCATTAGCTCCACTTATTCTAACTCACTTGGTAGTAGCAGCGAAGAGGATGAATCTGTCGACGCATTCAATAGAAGAGGTCACCAGGGGAGCTATGTCCTGCGAAAGGCAAGCCTTCACCTCACTCACTCACTTCTGTTTGAAAACACTGGATGTCAATTTTGTTTACACTCACATAAGTACGTAGCTCGCCAGCTGTAGCTAAAATAATTTGTATAATTATTTCTAGGGGCATCGAGTAAGAGAGATTGGGAATCCGCTGCTGGCAGCAGGAGAAGGAAGCAGAGGCGATGGGGACGGGAGACTCAGCAATGTACTGATCACGCCAATCTCTACTCTGGACAGATCCCAGCAGCAGCTCCTGGACTTTGGGAGCAGCGAGAGCAGCGACGAGGAATCCAACGAGGCAGCGTTCAGCGGAAGGAACCACAAAAGTCTGGTCCTGAGGAAGGTGGGCAAGAATTTCATTTGCATCAAACTGAATGGGCTCTGTTGGAGCCAATCTGCACCCACTATAATAGAGCCCCATAATGTATCTGCAGGCCAAACAAAAGAGAGTAGCTCCCCTTTCTAGTGCTGATGACACCATGTTTGTCAATCCTGGAGCAGCCACGGGGGAAGTGGGAGGGGGAGAAGAGATCGAGCAAATGTGAGCACTCCAAAAGCTATTAATATACATGTTCCTTTATTAGTTTTGATCTTGTGCAGTGGAAATGAGAGAAGTGACGCAGAGACTGACAGTCGTGTGGCTATTCACCCTGATCTTAGAAAGAGAATAGATAGGGCACTACATGTCCTCCTAGAATATGATGGGAAGGACAAACCACCAAGTTCCTGTAACCCTCAGAACTGTTTTCCCTGTTTGAAGACCACCACTGAGCCTCCTGTGTCCCCTGAGCTGCGGAAAGTTCAGTCTCTTGGGTTCAAAATGTTCCCGTTTTTCCTCTTCCCCGCACTCCCAAAGCTCCTACAGGACACCTGGGTCGCCATGGAGCTATTTGTGACTTTCTTTGAGTTGCTTTTCGCATGCATCACATTTAGCTCGGGAGATGCAGTGAGCACACTGGTGGTGGTTCTGAGCCTTGTCAATCTCCTTCTTGCCAGTTTTGACAGTTTCCTATATTTCGTGGAGGGTGGGTCTTGTGCTAGTCTGTTCAAATGGAGCCGGAAGAAACGGAAAGAGAAGAGGGAGCCTGCGATGAAGGGTGAGGCGTCCTCTGAAGAAAAGCAAGATGAAGGTTTGGGGAAGAAAAAGAAAGAAGAAACGTCTTTTGGCCGGTTCCGTGCAAAGGCTCGGAAAGTGTTTGCGGTGGGGGCAGAGGTGATCCGTGCAGGTCTCACTGAGCTGTTGCTCTATCCGCTGACAGTCCTCGGCTTGTACGAGCTGATAGACTCACAGACCTTCAATGGCGACGACAGGGACAATCGCATTAACTTTGGTCTTCTCAACGTCGGCCTCTTCTACCTCGTACTGACCGTATACCTCATCCGTATAATCATGGCCGTGAGTGCAATTGTGAGCATCTCTCGTCTCCCCAAAACTACAAATACCGACTACCACCAACTCTTGGTCAAGTTTTCCCTCCACATTATCGGTCAGATATTCGTACACATGATTATTCTCACTATGGTGGCTACAAAGATAGATAGCGAGCTCTGTGCCTCTGTCGTCAGTGATGGATCAGGCTCTGGAGGAAACGAAACTACGACAAATTCAGTCAATGCCAGCCCCTTTCTAATTGTCACTATAATTACAGGTGACGTAATACCGTTTTTCGGAGTGGCCATGTTCTTTGTCGTAAACTACCCAGGGCTGAAGCAGTTTATGATGGGATTTTGCATTGACATGGTGTCTACCATCGTTTCAGAAGACTTTGCCAGCACAGCCTTCTCTGGAACAGGGGATAAAGAACGTGAATAAAAAGACGTCTGAAGTGCAGAATAAAGTGGACGTTGCACTTGTAAGGAACCAGTATAATGTCTATGCCAATGTCTTTTCGTTCAAAAAGAAGCTCTCCTACCGATTGACCAATCCTGTGGTGATGATTTTCAGCATCGCATATTTTTCCCTCGTGACGCTCTTTCTAGCTTCTCATGCTCTCGGTCGGAGTGATCCTTGCGACTCCACAAGTGAGATAGAGTTTATCACTCATCCGGGGGTAATTGTGACCTTTGTCATTGGAGTGACAGCAATTGCAGTGGCCAACTATCAGGTGGTGCTGATGTCTGTCATCTGGTTGCTGGCTCTTGCTGGGCTCGTGGTCTTTGTTGCAACTGCACCCTTGGCAATTTTAATTATTGCACCATTGATTGCCATTGTGGTACTAGTGAAGTCTTGCATCTAGATTATCGTTGTTTTCCGATAAAAATTAATTATTGCTGTGCGGTCAAGTTCGCGCGCGCCGCAAAATCCATGGCTACGCGACGCTTCGCACCAAACTCGAGTCAGTTTTCGCACATGCCGACGCTGAAAAATGCCGTCTCTGCTACCTGTGTTTCCGCTCAAGAACCCAATCTGTTTCGTTCCTCAAGGCTTATTCTCCCAGCTCGGTGAGTTAATGGCTAATAACCGAGCCGCTAGCCCCTGCATGCCATAATTGGCAATCCCGAACCCACTGCATGACGCGCGATTTATAGGTAGGCCGGAAGAGGAGATCCCGCATTCAACCAACGTCCAGCATTTCACGGGAACTGGGTACGCAGAGATCCAGCAAGCCAAATGGAACAAGTTCATCCAGGCCAGGATACGAGTAGAGGAGGCAAAGAAGAAGTTTAGCGATGCTAGCAAGTTGCACTCGACCGCGGGGCCGCTGGCGGAGGTCCCGGGCTGGAAGGACGCCACAATAGAGAGCTTCCGGCTCCAGTTCAGGATCATCGACCTCAACGGAGACGGCCTCATCGATTTCAAGGAAATGTGAGGGTTTCGCAGTGTAGCCAAGGAGGGTAAGTGTCATTGTCGTGAGTGTTTATATAGGTGTGTAGCTTTGGACAAGATTGAAGACAATTCAAGCAACGAGAAGAGAAAAGAGTACTTTAGAGAGATTGACAAGGACCAGTCAGACGGCGTCGACTTTGAGGAATTTCTGGGAGTAAGTCTTTCACAAGATAAACACATCAAATAGAAATATATAGCCGGACCTTAAAGAGTTCAGTATGAATTAGCTAGCTTTATAGTACGGTCTTAGTTCTCAGTTTCTACGTATTCTGCAGTTGCTAGTGAGAGTAAAGCAGGAGGAAGGGGAGAAGGGAGGGTGTCTCAGCAAGTTGTGTCAGTCTACACAGCTCGGTATCCAGGCAGTGTTCCACATAACCCAGCTACTGCCTCAGGAACAAATACACTTTGGACTCTTTTAAACAGTCAGTTAGCTATACGACACACATACGAAATGTTTTTTGACTTGTCTCGCATCCAATCATGATCATTGTGTAATGACTCATTGAGGGTAATAACGACAGGGGTAAAAATATTGATTAAATTCTAGTCCTAATAGAGTTTCCAGAGGCTAATTCGACTGTCTTTGGAACCGCATATCATGAGATTCGAATCTTCAGACACTGCCCGTCTCCCGGCAAAACTGACGCAGTGTACAACGCTCGAATGGTAGTTTAATATTGCCAGGGGTTTACCCTTCTTCCACCCAAACACCCGAATCCTATGTTACCAGGTAAGTAAAAGCAACAGCTCAGAGTGTAGTGTACCTCCCGTCCCATCCTCCAGATGCCATTATCTTGCAGTCACCTCTAACAGCCACGTCTGCCACCCCAGGGTTCTTCAACTCCACACCAAACCTCTTCCCAATCACACTCTGCCCTCACACAGAGCTATCATGAACACCTCAACAGCCCTCTCAGTTGTCTTACAAAACCTTTTCAGGAGAGAGAGAAAAGACCTCCAGTGAGTTTCCAGGAGATCCACAAACTCCACTTCGTCCCTCTCCATCCAGTGCTAGGCACATAACTATACACCGGAAAGCAACTGCTGCACCACCAAATACTTAGCTTGTTGTTGAAATCTCACCTGGCTCCGGGAAAAGTTTGAGAGAGGTCATTTCAGCGGAAGGTCGTCTAACGTCCCAAAGGAGGAGGCTCCCATCGTCAAAGCCAGCTAATACGAGGGGGATCCCCGTGGAGCCATCACACCACGCCCTGACACACATACACATCCCTGACATACGTAAGAAAGTGGAGCACCGATTTATTACGGTACCACTGCAAAACAAACTCTGGCTGCATATTATACCTCTTGACTTCACGTTCTCTGCACTCAGTGTCTGCACCAATTTACGTGTCTTGCCGTCATACATGTTCACCTACGGATGTCACATTGCACAAACTTACTGTGATGTCAGTCAGCAAATAGGGGCTAACTCTGCCATAGTTCCTGTCTGCAACAGCAAAGCACTCAGAACTGAAAACTCCACCACTGTCCTGACCTAAAAAGGACTTGAACTGTCCGATTATTGGACTGATGTTCTGTGCATTGCACGCTACCTGTTGTGACTAGGGAGGAAAAGTGGGAGATGCGACAGAAACTTGGGTTTTCTACGGTCACGGAAGAGCCTGGTTTCCCTGTCTGTATGCTCCAGAGCGTCACCACGCCTCCCTTCAGTTGCCTGCCGACGACACGGGAGCTGGAAGCGGCCTGAGAGCCCAAAGAAGTGGGGGCCAGTTCTCACACAGAGAGGGAGTCGGAGGTGTTCCCGAGTCGTGTGACAGAGGTGATCCCGGCAGGACAGCTCTGGGTCCACATCTGCCGCTTGTCCGACAGCCTCCACACGCTCAACTGTCCGCTACCCGTCCTGATGAACAAGCCAAGGCAGAGGAAATAGCAGAGAGCGAGACCGTATTCTGGAATAGTGAACTGACCCGCTGGCAAGGCCTCCGGTTGTACCGATGTCGAGGTATTCGACACTGGTGACATCTCCAGCGTGAGGTCGGATGGTGTAGAATGGCTCTGGAGACGGCTTTGGAACTGCAGAGGCTAACCCCTCCATCGATCGATCGATCGTCGCGCCACCCCACACACTATACGGCGCAGTATACGTACGCCCGCCCAACATGGGCATGGTGCGCATGCGCAAAAAATGAGCCGATCGCCGCGCGACCGCGCGATCGATCATCGCGCGAAAAGATCGTACACGAATCGTTCTCCACCTTCTTTCCAATAATACATGCCCCACTGAGAGCTGTGATACTTTTATACAAGGTCACATACTAATTGTAGCTAGGCTAGCTGTAAACCAAACAGCGAAACGAGATGATAGTCTGGGCCGTAACGTTGATTTGCATCGTCTTCGGAGTATTCGTCCTCCAGCAGAGAAGAAAGAGGCGGGCTGCGTATCCAGAGGTAAGTCTCTGTCTAGCGCCTCGTTGTGGTCGTGTTGCACGCAGTCGTTCAACACTAAAACCCGTACGCAGAGTCGTCATAACGTGTCGGCTGCGCCAGACGTGTTTTCCGAGGAGACGGAGGTTTTGGTGGTCGGTGCGGGGATTCTGGGCTCTGCTGCGGCCGCGACGCTGGCGAGGGACGGACGGCAGGTGAAAGTCATCGAGCGGGATCTTTCCGAGCCCAACCGCATCGTAGGCGAGCTGCTGCAACCGGGTGGATTCGGGGCACTAAGAAAACTCGGCCTGGAAGGTATTTCTAGACCTGCTGAACTGACTGAGATGGTTTATGGGACACTCTCTTCCTACAGATGCAGTGATTGGTATCGATGCTCACACCGTGCAGGGATACGCTATCCACGACAACGACACCAGAGAGAGCGTGGTTCTCTCTTACCCCACCAACGAAGCGAGTCAAAAGTTGCAAACCGGTCGCTCCTTCCACCACGGGAGGTTTGTGATGGGTCTCAGAGAAGAGGCCAGGAAATCGAAGTGAGTCCTGTCTTGCTTGACATTATAATTATAGCTAATCACACTCTTGATGATTGTACCTGCAGAGTTAGCCTTATAGAGGGAACGGCGATTAGCCTGCTTGAAAATAAACAAGGACACACTGTCGGTGTTCTTTACAAGGAGAAGGAAACTGGACATGTGAAGGTGCAAGTCAGATTATTACAGTTGCGTAATACTTTTGTCTATATATATATATATACCACACTGACACACACAGGCAATCAAAGCAGATCTGACTATAGTAGCTGACGGATGCTTCTCGAAATTCCGAAAGGGCCTGGTGAATGCATCGGTGGAAGTACCTTCCCACTTTGCAGGGCTGATCCTCACCGGCTGTCCGCAGTTCAAGACGGGGTTTGCCGAGATTGCACTCCCCGTGGGCAGCTCGGGACCAATCCTGGTCTATCAGATTTCCAGCACGTGTACTCGAGTCCTTGTTGACATTCGAGGAAAGATGCCGTCCGACTGTGAAGCAGTACATGGAGGACACAGTCGCACCAGAACTCCCAGGTCAGCCATTTCGTAATATGAAGCGATGTCTTAAAGAAAATCAAACTTATCAATTCACTTGTTGATCTGAATTGAACGGAGCCCCTTTCAATCCAGATTAGGATCGACTATATATAAGGTTCCAGAGTTCACGTTTGAACACTGCTGCTTTGGTAGTTAGAATTACACGCTACAATATTGAATGGCATGGTGTGCTGCAAGATATGGCTCCTCTCACTCGTCTTGCTACAGAGCACATCCGTGGCCCCTTCCTGAAGGCACTGGTGACACAGCAGATCCGCAGCATGCCCAACTCTTTCCTCCCGCCGGCCCCAATACACCTACCTGGAATGATACTGCTGGGAGACGCAATGAACATGCGGCACCCCCTCACAGGGGCCGGGATGAGCGTGGCCCTTCACGACATCCTCATCTGGAGGGACCTACTGCGAGGTGTCCCTGATTTGAGGGACCACTCGGCCATCCTCAGTTGCTCGAGAAAGTTTCAGCGGCAACGGAAGATGTATCACTCGTTTGTGGTCAACGTTTTGGCACAGGCACTGTATGCTCTCTTCTCTGCTTCTGACGGTAAGAGATGCAGTATGTATGATGTACAGACTGAGGGAATCTTGTCGTGTTTGATTCTCCAGAGTACCTTCGTCAGTTGCGTAGAGCCTGTTTTGGCTACTTTCAGTTGGGAGGTATGGCAGTCTCTGGACCTGTCGGCCTTCTATCAGTGTGAGTAAGATCCTGAATTTTGACTCTAACGAGCTACTCGTTAGAGTCTTCTTTTCTAAACACTAGGCTGCGTCCAAATCCTCTCATTCTCATTGGACACTTCTTTGCCGTGGCACTCTATGCGATGTACCAGATTGTGACTACGTCTTCCTGTGCGGTGCACAGAGCAGTCTTCAAGGCAGCGATGGTTCTCGTACGAGCCTGCTCAGTTATTTTCCCTCTCATTGGCTCCGAACTCATCAGTTTTCTCTGAGACACTCACCTCATTCTCATCTTGTGACATGTATTATTATACGGAGTTGCATGTTCTGATCTCTCAAACTATCTAAACTTATTCATGATCTGATTATGCTAATAAATGTTGCATTATTCATACCAGGCTAAAAAAATGGTCATTGCTGTAGCTATGGAAACGTTCAGACAAAAACATTCAGCGTCAGGAAAGACGCATTCTCTCATCACTGCTGCTCACGCCGAGTCCCTGCACTTACTCTGCAACCAGTTATGGAGCTGGGAGTGAAGTCCCCCGTAAGGAGCCCCTCCCCCTCCCACCCGCTCTCTCCCACTCGCCTCGCAAAGCTGCCACCCATTGGCCCGGATGGCTCCGCCGAGACATACGCCCCTAGTCCTGCACTCATGCAGAGCGCCTGCACGGAGTTGAGGGACTCCATGGCCCACCTCCTGAACGAAGTGAGACGCTCTGCCGGATTCTCTGTCATTGGGTGCTATCTGTAGCTAACTGGGTGCATATATACCTTCGCTGCAGGCCCAGAGTGCAGAGACCAGAATACAGAAGGCGATAGAGTCAATGTGGCAAAAGAGTAAGTCTCTAACTAATGGCAATGCTGCGAGCACTCCACCATAATGATTCTGTCTGCAGTGGTGGAGATGGTGGGATGTAGGGTCAAGGAGTACGAGCAGCAACTGACAGAGGAGAGAGCAGAGCTGGCCACCACAAAGGAGCAACTCTCCAGAGCACAAGCTCAGGAAGCCTCTCTGGTCCACCAGAATGCCCGCATGAGTATGGAGCTAGTGGCCTCCGAGAAGAGAGAGAGAAAACTAGCGGAACAGGCGTCGGAGTTGGAGAAAAGAATTTCGGCAGAGACGACTCGTTTTTCTCGAACCAAAGAGGAGTGGAGCGGTCAGAGAGAGAAAGACAAGAGGGAATTGGAGGCAGTTCAGAAGGAGTTAAACGAGAAAACCAAAGTATTGCGAGAATACCAAGAAAAGGTGGGCTCATTACTGTGATCGTATGTGGCATATTCTACTCTGTGTTTCATCTGCAGCTCTCCAAGATGACAGAGAAAGTGCAGAGACTGACGAAGGGGCTGGTGACAGAGAAGGCCTCGGTAGAACACCTACAGAAGAGTGCCTCTGAGCACAGCAACCAACAGACGGCAGAAAACAGGAAACTCGCCTTGGAAATCTCAAAACTAAAAGTAAAATCAGTCAATCCTCTCTTTAGGCAGTAGTGAGTTGTCCTATAGGTGTAGTTGTGTTGTTTCCCTTCGCTTTTTGTCTTTTACCTTGTCGGTGACATCTGCAGGCTCAGCTGAGCTCTAGTAGTGGGGCAGTATTGTCGGGGAAGGAAGAGCTGAAGAGACTGGCCCAGCAGCTCCAGTCACAGCAGGGGAGAGCCGAGGAGAGTCTGGAGAAACTGAGACTCCAGCACAAACAGACAGTCCAGAAACTCGAGAGCAAAGTAAGAGAGACTATAATTTTAATGTCCATCATGGAGAGACTACGACACTGGTTCATTCTATGCCCATAGATTGCTTCACTCGAAGAAGAAATCGAGGGACTGAAAGCGGAACATAAAACTGAGATTGGTATGTAACGCCAAAAATTAGTCGCAGCCTGAAAATCGTTTGTTTTGTTGTAGATGAGCTGTTGATCAAACTGCGCAAAGCCCTGGCACATGAAGTAGATGATTATCTGGATGCCAGAATCAAGTTCCTTAGACATCAGGTATGTATAATAATAAGAATGATGCATCTCGTGTGATAATATTCGTTCTTCCTTTTCTTTCAGAACCAACAAGAGAAGATAAAAATCTTAAGAGACACAAAAAGCAAACAGTAGGACTTTCACTTGACACAACACGTTGTACACATCAAAAATCAGTTTGTAAACTCTCTGAGACGATTTTTAGAACAATTTCTTTGCCAGGTGACTAGAACTAGCTGCCCTGGCCACGTCTTCGTCTCTGTCGGCAGCTTGCTCTCTCTTTGACTGCGGCATGGGGAGAAGGTGGCCTGGTGTGGGAGGAGGTGAACTGCTGAAATAAGAAGTCTTCAGGGCCTGTGTCGCCGAGCACCGTTTCGACGGGTCCAACACAAAGCACCAGGTGAGCAAGAGCAAGAGACTGTCGCTTGCCGCCGAGAAAATCTCCCTGAAGGGGATCCCGGGCAAGTCTTTGAAGGCGACGTAGTCAGGGAGGCTGGTCACCCGGGCCAAATTTCCTCTGTGGGTGTCCCACAGATCTCGAAAATCTTTGTCAGTTGTCCGAGATCGGTGTCTCCTGGGATGAACGGAACACGCAGGAGTAGCTCGGCTATGATGCACCCCACGGCCCAAATGTCCACTCCGGTGCCATACAGCCGAGCTCCAAACAGCAGCTCGGGGCTGCGGTACCACCGAGTCACCACCTGATGCGTGAGCATGCGGTTGGGACTCCCAAACGGTTTGGCGAGTCCGAAATCAGTGATCTTGAGGATGCCGTTTCGATCCAGGAGGAGATTGTTGGGTTTGAGGTCGCGATGGAGGATCCAGTTGTTGTGCAGGTATTCCAGCCCCTGCAGTGTCATGACTGCGTAGGCCTTGACGTGTCCCGGGGTGAGAAGTATGGACGAGTCTCGTATTATCACCTCTAGGTCCGTGTCCATGAAGTCGAATATGAGGCTGATGTTCGACTTGTGGCCGAGGACGTCGCGGAGCCCGATGATGTTGGGGTGGCGGAGTTCTTGAAGGAGTTTGATCTCTCGCAGGGCCGTCCGGTTGACCCCGTCCCGCATTTCGTCCCGTCCGCCGATCTTGATCTTCTTGACGGCCACGATCTTATCCTCGTTCTCCGTGTCCTCGGCCTTGAAGACCGTGGCGAACTGGCCCTCGCCCAGGAACTCCGTCTTTCTGTACCTCTTCGTCATTATGTCTCTTCCTCACCGCGGTTCTATTTACTGCGCACCTGTTCAGCCCCGCCCTTTTTGAGTGAGCATGCTGCAAAAATAATTTACATGGCTCAAGAAAAAAGTAAAAAAATAAATATTGATCTTAACCATCTGATAAAACCCCACTTATTTCTATGTGAAGTACCTTGGCTTCAGCTAAAACAGAAACTACGAGGAAAACGATGTAAAACAGAATGAGACACACAGCGACTGGTCTGAAGATTCGGTATCGCGAGAATGTTATGACCAACAACGACACGGCCAGTGTTACAATGAGGAACGCAGCTGCAAAAAACTCTACCTGTGTGAAGTACAACTGCAAGCACAAGAGAGAGAGAGAGAGAGAGAGAGAGAGTTAAAAGTAATTTCAAGAGGGGCTGACTCACTGTGAACTTGAAGCCGTCATTTCTCCTCTTAATAGACTTGTAGAGCGAGGAAACCCCCACACCAATTAGTATGTCTGTACAGCCACAGCTAAGAAAATCTAACTGCATGCAGAAGCTACATACAACTGGAATAGTATATAGGAAGGAGGGAAAAGAACACACAGTATGAAGAATGGGTGGATACTGAGGAGAGGTCCTCCGTAGCAGGCTCCTATGGCCATGCGAGGAAATCCCTGTCGTGCCATTGTCATATTGGCCACAGCATCTGTTGACAGTCATTTTACAATAGCAAAAACTGCGCACACCTTGTGTGTTAGTGACAATGCTCAAGTGGTAAGTGACACCACTGAATGCACAGCACACACATGATAGGGGGGTGGTTTACAACAATCGTACATACATAGCATGTGTTTCTCAGAGGTGTATATATGGACTATCCACACTAATTACATTTCTCCAGTATTATGTGCTGCATAATTATTAAATTATATTATACCTCCAATACTGTTGCCCCATGCCAGTAGAGTGATGCCAAGTATGCCATCTGATAACTTCACTACAATGCCAAAGGCCTGTATTATACAGATGCACACAATAGGTAAAATGGCACAATCGAATGAATGAATAATATACATACCTGCAAGAGGTTGACAATTTCGTTGGCAATGGCATAGATCCACACAACAGCAATGGCAAAACCCAGCCACGCAAATACCTAGAGAACACAGATGGGAAATTTTCCAAGCATAGAGTCCAAGCATAGAGTCAATTTTCTCATAGACGGCTACAGACTCACTAGAAACCTTCCCTAGATCTATGTATGTATGTATGTACGAGCCAGTTCTAGCCTCCTTCCTTATGAATCTTGATTGTAGGGACACAGCGTTTAGCCCTCAAACATCGTGTGTGTGTGTGTGTGTGTCGTTGAGAAGCAATGTCTGTGGATATACGTACGCAGTGGTAGACAGGTCTGCGATCACTCCAAGAGGTACAGGCCACAAGAAGAGCAGCCACCACACCGAGAAACAGGATGAGAGCCCAGACTGGAAACACGTCTCCTATCTTCTTGAAACCAACTGCAGACAAGAGTAGTGGAGGAATCATAACTCGGCGAGAGAGGGAGAGACTAGTGAGGGAGGGAGAAAAGATAAACCAAAAGAGGGGTATCGAGGGGAAAAAGAGAGAGGGGGGATTGAGGGGGTAGGGGGTTGAAGAAGAAGAAGAAAAGAGAAGAAGAAGAAGGAGAGAAGAAGAAGAAGAAGAAGAAGAGAAGAAGAAGAAGAAGAAGAAGAAGAAGAAGAAGAAGAAGAAGAAGAAGAAGGAGGAGAAGAGAGGAGAGATGCCTACTTTCAGTAAGGAGAGCCACGGTCACTGGTCCTGTGATGCAGTGTAGGACATTCAACCACTTGTTCCAGTTGTGGAGCTCTGCCTCAGAGTCAATGACAGGCACCGTCAGAGTCAGGATAAACCCACAAGGATACTGTGAGCAGTCAATGGGAACTCAGTCTCACACACAATTCCTATCCTTACTGGATCTTCTGTGTTGCTTACCTTTAGTATTTCGTAGATTTTCCCAATCAAACCAAGTTCCCGAAAGTCTTTGCCAAACGGGTAAAAAGCTAGGAGGAAGCGCATTAAGGGATTCAGCTTCTTTGGTTTTTTCAAGATGAGCTGCGTGGTCTCATCCTCCGCCTCTTCTTCGTCTTCGTTGAGAATGGAGCTGTGTCTGCTTCCCTCTTCACTTCCGCTGTGACCGTGGTACCCTAAGAAAACACACTCGATGAGCCTTTACGAACAGCACAGATTATATTATTCATAGCCCGTTTAACAGACTTATGGGGTGCTATTATGCATAACTCGACATTAAGTAAATAGACTGGAAAGTTGGTTAATCTTGGGCTCACTGTGGCTGGAAATGAGAGGGCTTTTTCTTGGCGGATGGACTTTCTGTATCTCATGCAGTATCTCTGGGACGTGTGGTAACCCAACTGCAGCAACCACCTCCTCCGACACATCCAGAGCACCTGGAGATGGACAAAGCGAGAAAGAAGATAGATTGAGAGGTTGCTAAAAACACCGACCTGTGAGGGTCTTGTTGAGAAGTTTCCTCGGAGTGGTACTACGAGGTCTCTCGTCGTACCACGCTGACCTCCCGAGACCGTGGGCAGCAGCGTACTTCCAGCCACGCTCCTGATTGGGGGTGGGGCTTATTGCCCGACGTCCAGCCAGGAGGGCCCCAAACTATGGGCACGGATCATTAAAGAACATTAAGTTATGCTGAAGCACCATGAATTTCATCACATGCAACTAGAAGTTGGAATCCTACTGCATACTGCACTAGTGTTAGATACATTCAAGTTTTAATGGGTGCTAATATTTGTGCATTGCAGCTTTTCACAAGATAGGTTATACTGATGTGATTCAGACCTGAGGAAAGAGAGGGCCGTTTGCTCCGTGTAGAGACTTGTGCATCTCCTTCTTGGCATGGAGTGGCTTCCCGTGTGGGTGAGAGAGTCGTGGGCGAGAGAGTCGTGGGCGAGACGAAGGTCGAGGAGGTACCAGTTTGTTTGCATCAGATGCTCCGTCATTAGTTGTAACTTGCAGAGACCCACCTGTTGCCAAAGACAATCCAAACAATTTCGAATGATTTCTTACAGGGAAATACATTGAGAGGTTCCTTTATTGAGAGGCGTCCTATACTCGGAGGTAGTAGTACGGGGCAGAACCATAGTGTCCCTTATAGAGAGGTCTGCTTTATTTCGAGGGTGTTTATCAGATGTTTCATACATGACTCCAAGTCCATATCAAATCCACGGCACTGTATATACCTTGATAGACTTCTGCCTCCGATCCGGTGCTGTTGTCTCGGCTGCGATTGCCAGTGTGATGAAAGGTCGTCCCCAGTTTCCTGTGTGCCACCTCACAATCGTCCTTACTCTTCTCCAGTTCCAGGGTCTCGTCCTCGATCAGTGGTTTAATTGCATCAGACTTCATGTCTGCAATACAGGAGTGGGAAGACTTGCCACACTACTTAGCTATCATAAGGCAAAATAATATTCATGTTGTCGCAATAACTTCTTTTAGGTATATATATCAATAGCCCATGGTCTGGAGCCCAGAAGCATGCACACCTTGGAGCTCTATGTAGCTATATTATAGTGTGTCCTGTATTATCACAAACAGTCGGCAAAATTTGCACACATTACTATGCATAGTTCCTCACTACACATAATTCACATAATTATCGCAATCTCAAATGAAACTTCGTGTCTCAGTAATTTTTATACTCACTATCTCCACTAGTGATTGCGTGTGAGAGGGGAGAAGAAGGGAGAAGAAACGGCGAAGGGTTGACTCCCTTTGCCTTTTGCTGTTCTGGCACAGAGCTAAGTTTACTACCTCGAGACCCTGCATACATATAGATACAAATTCAAGTAAACCCAAGACCTACGGTGAGTAGTACAATCGCAATTGTGGCTGGCAAGGGATGGAACTAGCATAAATCTATTACACTCCTGAGTATCGATATGTAAGCAACACACACCATCTGAGTTTTCCCATATATGCCCGGCAATGTAACGTTGTAACTGTATTGTGCTCTCACTTGCTTTGCTAACACTTTTCCACTTTTGGTAGAAAATCCTGCCCACGATCACCACCACCACATAGAATACATACAGTGCTATAAAACCTATGAAACAAACGAGAAAAAGAGACCTCTATAATTATACTAAAGACAGAGAGATAGTATAATGAGAATAAACGAGAGGGTTTTACCCGCAGCCATAAAGATGGTTACTGTGTTAGTCCACAGCACGTAAAAGGTCCAGTAGACTGCAAAGGTGTAGAAGATAATGTCTCTGAGAAACGGGCGCTTCGTGAGTGTAAACGGCGACAGAAAAGCCACACCCCCCACCACGATGGTTGTGACAAATATCCCGGCACCTGAAAACAGAAAATGGTAAGTGAAACGAAAAACATATAACATTTCCTTGCAAAAGGGAGATTTTCCCAACGGGGCAGAAATGTATAGTTATAGCTAATAAACACAGTCCACAGGAACGTTAATGAGAAGGGGTGTGGTAATAATGTCTTACCAAACAGGGCTCCAATGGCGAGACTGGACTTGTGGTCGTCACTCTGACTGATGGCAGCAAAGGCAGAGAAGATGTCAGGAGCTCCGTTCCCCAGAGCAAGGAGAGTCACACCGTGGGCCTCCGTCAAGGAACACACTTTAAACCCAACCACAATTCACACTCCCCCCTCTCTCTAACGTGCAGGTTATGCTCTATTGTGGAGCCTTTCTAAAAGGAGACGAGTCAGTAATGAGGAACCTTTCGTTTCCCTGATGCACTCTAGGGCACCTCACCAAGAAAGAGATTTTCTTTTGTATTGGTGTCCAATATACGTTGCTCAGAGTCATTACACTTAGTGAAGTGGACATTGCTACTACAACTACAAAAGATATTCTATGGGAGGATATGGCCACATTCTGTCCAAGATGAAGGACCTTGGATATGACAGTCAAAGCTGGACAGAAACTGCACAATTAATTGCGATGATCGATGACTTGCGTGAGGATATCACAATTATATTGACCAACTTACTACTCCTCGGCAGTAGCCCCCAGAAAGATAAATAGAAAAATCAGCCAGAAGAACTGGGGAAGGATGGATAATATAGACATCGTGGAGTTTATTTGACAATAGATGAACATATTTTAGCATAGTCACACACGAGTATTGGTATATAGCTATACAGAGGGCAGTGTAGTACCAAGTTGTGACAAAGGGAGGGCATCTGTTCGCTTCCATAGCACATGGAGCTGCGATGTTTTTGACATGAAATTATTCCGTCTAACTGCATTCATCTCTCATCACATGATAGCACTCATTATATCAATTGTCCCACAAGTGGGGGTATCAAGTTACCCGCCAGTGGCTATTATCAAAACATGCACTTAGCCCTGATACAAAAAGTTTTGGGTAAAGGTGATAACGATGTAGCTAAACATCTGCAACGTGGGTATGATATAATATTATGAAGATCTTGCTGGAGCATCTATATTTCTTACCAAGACCACCATGGCAAGAGGGATGAGTCTAAAGGGAATGGTGCAGTAGATGAACTGGAGGTAGTTGAGAAGGCCTCCGTCGTTCTGACAGCTGTCCACTGTCTTGATGTACCTGCATCTCCTGCGTGTGCTGTTGATCTTGTGCACATTTGAACACTGCAGTGATTGAGGAGATGTTCTAGCTCCCACGTCCCCAACTACTATTAGCTGGCTAAACCACATTACAGACCTGCTCCATAATACTTTTTGAGCCATGTTTCGCGCGACCATGTAGCTATGTGGATAATAGACTTGCCTGTGCAGTGGCCGGATCGTAATCAGCATCGCCGCCGCCGCTCTCGCCGCTCTCGAACTGCGGCGTCTGGAGCTCGTCTTCGGCATCGGCGGTAGTATTTCCCACCCGTTGTTCCCCGCCGTCTTCAAACAATAGTCTGCGGTGGAGGATAAGTGTGCGCCAGTGTCCCGGCCGCCGCGGCGACGTAGTAAACGACTCTTTTCTTGGCTGGCTTCGCACCGCAGCTGCTGGGTGGGCGACAGGACTAACAGACCAGTCGTCTGAGATACCGCGGTCCAGATATAGGCCGGAGAGTACCCAAAGAAACACGCAGCCGAAGCTGAGCGTGGCGACGAGGCACCGGAGCTTGCTGGCTGGTAGAAAGCAGTCCATGTCTTCAGTGCAGCATTGCAGTGTATCGAGTGAGTAGCGTGGGAGATATCAGCCTATTCCTTGCTGCTGCCTCATCTATCAACTAAAATCATCCGCGATCCACCTCCAGATTTGGGGGCGTGTCTAGCGTTTCGTGCGTACGTGCTGAATCAGCACAAAATCACGGACGATGTTGGTGGAAGAAGCTAGAAGGTGTTGTTTCGTGCTAGTGGGTAACATTCCCGTGGAACTGAGGTCCGCCGATCTACGGGCCTTCTTCTCACATCTGGTGGAGCGGCGAGCCTTCGCCTGCTTCCACTTCAGGCATCGACCTGAGCACCTGCCCATAGTCAGCAGCGTCACCTCTGCCTCTACTGGGCCCCAGACCGCGACCGACCACACGGCTCCAGGGGCCAGCAAGAGGCTGACACCACTCGACGAAGGCGATGCTACGGCTAAAGAATCTACCGTGGGACAAGAAATAAGCTTTCCCTCGGAGTCCGCCGAGACGGCTGATGGCGGCGGAGAGGGTCGAGGAGAGAGTGGCGAGAGCGAGACTCCTGCTATTCTACCGGACGTGGAAGCGGTCTGAAACGTCTGCCGTCGCGTTGGTTGCGTAGCTGCCGTGCGAAGGAGCACGAGCCCGAACTACTGAGGCGATACGGCCGCGGGGGAGACACTGGGCCAAGTCGGACGGGACGCTTCTCAGTATAAAGTCAAACTCAGTAGGATTTTTTGGGGGTCAAGTATTTTTCCCAATTTCCCTTTTTTTCTCTTTTCTCTTTTTTTTTTTTTTTTTTTTTTTTTTTTTTTTTTTT